AAGTGAAAGCAGATGCGGACCATCCGCTATCGAGCCTTGTTGCCCTGTGTTGGAGGTTCAATAGGTGGGAGAGTTTTCAGAGTTCTGAATGCTGCAGAGCTGTTACATCTCCTCTTTTTTTATCTATTTGAGCTAGGATTCACACTTACTTCATCCAGGTGACACTTGCGTAGGCTTAATGTGACATTGTGAGTGTGAAAAAAAGTTACTGTAATAACAAAGAAAAAACTCTTGAACGATCTGCCAATGGCTCAGGCCTGAGTCGAACAGGCGGGGTCTGCATTACATGCTAGAGCAGAAGTGGATCATCCACTACTGAGCATTATTGTCCTGTCAACAAGGTTCAATGGATGTGACTTTTTTTGAAGTACTGAGGCTGTTTTTCTGTCTTTTTGAGTTTTCATTCATGTAATGTGCATTTACAGTCAAGTTGGAATGTATAGGCAGCAGGCAAGATATATCTATGCACATATGTATTTATACATGGGGCACCTCAGAGATACAGATGGTGGAGAAGAGGGAAAAATTTATCTGACTCAACACACATGGCTCAGGCCTGAGTCGAACAGGTGGGTCTGCATTACATTTTGGTTATAACCGAAAGGGAAGCAGATGTGGAACCATCCACTACTGAGGCTTATTGGCCTATGTTGGAGGTTGGGTAGGTGGGTGAGGTTTTAAAGTCTTGCAATTCCGGACAGCTGGTACATTTTCTCTTTTTTATTTATTCGAGCGGGGACTCGGACTTGCTTTCTCCATACTACTCTACATATTGGTGTTTGAGCTCGAGGTGAATTTATGGCTGACACTCCGCACAGTGAACCCAATCAGAAAAAAAAATCGAGCGCTCAGATGCTATGGCTCGGGCCTGAGTCGAACAGGCGGGGTCTGCATTACAGATTTCGCCACCAAAGGGAAGCAGATGCGGACCGTCCGCTACCGAGCCTTGTTGACCTGCAAACAAGGTTCAATAGGTGGGTCCCTTTTTAAAAGCCCTGCTGTTGCATTTCTCCTCGCCTGTCTCTTGAATGGAGGTGCAATTTATATGGCTTGAAGTTACTCAATGCTGGCTGGATGAGATTGATATTCAAAAGGGAAAGAGGGGAAAAGGAAAAAATACAGGACATCGAATGGCTCAGGCCTGAGTTGAACAGGCGGGGTCTGCATTGTATGATTTTCCACCGCCCCACTGAAATCAGATGCGGACCGTCCGCTACCAAGCCTTATTCACCTGCAAACAAGGTTCAATAGGTGGGTACCTTTTTGAAGCCTTGCAATTCCGGACAGCTGCTACATCTCCTCTTTTTTTATTCATTTGACCAGGATTCGGACTTACTCCCTCCATACTACATATTGGTGCTTGAGCTCAATGTGAATTTATAGCTGACACACAAACTGTGCACAATGAACCCAACAGAGAAAAAGATAGAGCCCTCAGAACTATGGCTCAGGCCTGAGTCGAACAGGTTGGGTCTGCATTACATGCCCAATGGCCGCTACGAAAGGAGAGCAGAAGTGGACCGTCCACCACTGAGCCTTATTGTCCTGTGCGGGAGGTTGGATAGGTGGGTATCTTTTGAAGCCCTGAATTCTGCAGAGCTGTTGCATCTCTCCTCACTGTCTCTTGAATGGAGGTGCAATTTATATGGCTTGAAGTTATTCAATGTTAGTTAAATGAGATGGATATTCAAAGGGGAAAGAGGAGAAGGGAAAAATAAAGCTGGGAATGCAGAATGGCTCAGGCCTGAGTTGAACAGGCGGGGTCTGTGTTACATGTTTTATCTGCTAAGGAAAGCAGAAGTGGACCGTTCACCACCGAGTCTTATTAACCTGCAGAGGATGTTGGATAGGTGGGCAAGTCTTCTCCCCATCCTCATTGTGTATCAAATAATGAAATGAATTCTGTTCTTACTCTTTGTTTCCCTTCATCAGTTTCTTCAAAATTATTGTGGGCTGCAACAAGATTGATGCTGTTGCTCAGGAAGCGAGGGACAGGATGAATGATATGGCACAGCCAAAAAAGAATCCACTCTCAATGCAACATATGGCTCAGGCCTGAGTCTAACAGGCGAGGTTTGCATTACATATTTCCTGGAACAAACAGCTGAAGCAGATGTGGACCATCCACTACCGAGCCTTGTTGACCTGCACAGGAGGTTGGATAGGTGGAAGAGTACTGAGGTTGTTTTTCTGTCTTTCTGAGTTTTCGTTCATGTAATGTGCATTTACAGCAAAATTGGAATGTGTGGTACAGTAGGCAAGATATGTATGTATGGAGTGCTTGAGTACAAATGATGAAGAAGTAAAAGATTGGACATCGACAACTCATGGCTCGGGCCTGAGTCGAACAGGTGGGGTCTGCATTACTCTTGTCTTCACCGCGGATTCAAAGCAGATGCGGAACATCCGCTACCGAGCCTTACTGGCCTATGTTGAAGGTTGTCTAGGTGGGCAAGTCTTCTCCCCATCCTCATTGTGTATCAGATGATGAAATGAATTCTGTTCTTGCTCTTTGTTTCCCTTCATCAGTTTCTTCATAATTGACAATTTGTACCCATCAGGGTGGGACACAACAAATCAGGTGCTGTTTGCTGGTGAAGAAGCAAGGGACACAATGAATCATATATCAGGGAAAAAAATCTGCTGGGATTCTAGTACATAAACATGGCTCAGGCCTGAGTCGAACAGGCGGGGTCTGCATTACATGTCCAATGGCCGCTATGAAAGGGGAGCAGATGTGGAACCGTCCACAATCAAGGCTGGTTTTCCTGCAAAGGATATTTGAAAGGCAGGTGACTTTGTGAAGCCCTACAATTCTGTACGGCTGTTACATCTCCTCTCTTTATTTATTTGAGCTAGAATTCGGACATGCTCCTTCCATATGTACTACTACATATTGGTGTTTGAGCTCAAGGTATTTATGATTGACAAACATGTTACAAACTCTGCACGATGAACCCAACCAGAAAAAAAAGATATTCTGGTTCAGGATATATGGCTCAGGCCTGAGTCGAACAGGCGGGGTCTGCATTACAGAGTTCACCACCTAAGGAAAGCAGATGCGGACCATCCGCTACCGAGCCTTGTTAGGCTAGGAAGGATGTTCAATAGCTGAGTACCTTTTTAAAGCCCTGCAATTATGCGGTGGCTGTTGCATTTCTCCTCACCTGTTTTTTTGAGCGGAGGTGTGGGCTTGAAGTTACTTAATGTTAGCTGGATGAGATTGATATTCAAAGGGGAAAGAGGAGAAGGGAGAAGGAAAAAATTCAGGAGGCAGAATGGCTCAGGCCTGAGTCGAACAGGCGGTGTCCGCATTACATGTTTCATGATTTTGCTGATCCGAAAGCAGATGCGGGCCATCCGCTGCCGAGCCCTGTTGGCTTGTGAAAGATGTTCGATAGGTGGGTGATTTTTTAAACCCCTGAATGCTGCAGAGCTGTTACATTGCCTCTTTTTATTTATTATTTAGATTTGCTCCCTCCATACTACATATTGGTGTTGAGCTCGAGGTGAATTTATGGCTGACATAGATGTACAGACTCTGCATAGTAAACCTAATCAGAAAAAAAAAAGATATTGAAGCCTCAAGGATTATGGCTCAGGCCTGAGTTGAACAGGCGGGGTCTGCATTACTTAATCTATTGTCCGATACTGAAAGCAGATGTGGACCGACCACCACTGAGCCTTATTAACCTGCAAAGGAGGTTGGATAGGTGGGTGATTTTAAGTAGGGGGGAAATTGTAAACACTCTAGGACAGCATATGGCTCGGGCCTGAGTTGAACAGGCGGGGTCTGCATTACATGCCAAATAAAGACTATGAAAGGAGAGCAGATGTGGAACCGTCCACTACCAAGCCTTGTTGGCCTAGGTTAGAGGCTGAATAAATGGGAGATTTTTGAAGTCCTGCAATTCCGTACAGCTGTCACATTTCCTCTTTTTTATTTATCTGAGTGGGAACTCGGACTTGCTTCCTCCACATTATTGGTCTTTGAGCTCAGTGGAATTTATCACTGACAACAGAAAAGTTTAGAGACGAGTGTGCACAATGAATTTGATAACCCCAAAAATTGGAGTGGATATGCCAGTCATGGCTCAGGCCTGAGTCGAACAGGCGGGGTCTGCATTAAGGACTTTCGCACTGTATCTAAGCAGAGTAGATGCGGACCGTCCGCTACTGAGCCTCAATGCCCTGCAGAGGAGGTTGAATAGGTGGGTTGATGTCGGAATCCCTGCAACTGTGCGGTGATTGTCGTCTGTTTTTTTGGTTGCTTTGGGTTCAGGTGATGATTCAAAATTGGACTCCCAGTAGCTTGGGATTTAGCGGAGCAGAATTCTGTGTGTGTGTGTGTGTGTGAGCCAAGTGTGAACAATTGAAAAAAATTGAAAAGTAAAAGAAAAAGTGTCAGAGTAGAGGTTGATGGCTCAGGCCTGAGTTGAACAGGCGGGGTCTGCATTATATGTTGATCCATCTCCTACGCGAGGGGAGCAGAAGTGGACCATCCACCACCGAGCCTTATTAACCTGCAGAGGATGTTCAATAGGTGGTAGTTCTGAGGCTGTTTTTCTGTCTGAGTTTTCTGCAATGTGCATTTACAGTGAAATTGGAATATATAGGCAGCAGGCAAGATATGTATGTACATATTTATGTATGAGGGCTTGAGAGATACAGATGATGATGAAGAGGAAAAAATTATGACATGAACGGTGCATGGCTCGGGCCTGAGTCAAACAGGCAGGGTTTGCATTATATGATTTTAAATTCACACCACCCTACTGAAAGCAGATGCGGACCGTCCGCTACCGAGCCTTGTTGGCTTGTGAAAGATGTTCAATAGGTCAGTATTTTAAAGCCCTGCAATTGCAGTGGCTGTCGCATCTCTCCTTGCTGTCTTTGGAGCGGAGGTGTAGTTTATAGGCTTGAAGTTACTCATTGTTGGCTGGATGAGATTGATATTCAAAGGGGAAAGAGGGGAAAAGGAAAAAATACAGGACGTCGAATGGCTCAGGCCTGAGTCGAACAGGCGGGGTCTGCATTACATTGTCTATCTATTAAACCCAAGGAAAGCAGATGTGGAACCGTCCACCACCAAGCCTTGTTGGCTTGTGGAGGAAGTTAGATAGGTGGGCAATTCTTCTCTCCATCCTCATTGTGTATCAGATGATGAAATGAAATTCTGGCTTCCCGGTGTTTGTCTTTTACTTCATCTCATCAGTTTCTGCATGATATGTTTTACAGAGAGAAAAAATAGTGTGCGCCAGTACATGGCTTGGGCCTGAGTTGAACAGGCGGGGTCTGCATTACATTGTCTATCTCTTAAACCCAAGGAAAGCAGATGTGGAACCGTCCATCACCAAGCCTTGCTGGCTTGTGGAGGAAGTTAGATAGGTGGGCAATTCTTCTCTTCATCCTCATTGTGTATCAGATGATGAAATGAATTCTGTTCTTGCTCTTTGTTTCCCTTCATCATTTCTTCATAATTATTGTACCCATCGGGGTGGCCTGCAACAAGATTGATGCTGTTGCTCAAGAAGCGAGGGACAGGATGAATGATATGGCACAGCCAAAAAAGAATCCACTCTCAATCCGACATATGGCTCAGGCCTGAGTCGAACAGGCGGGGGCTGCATTATGTTGTTTTCCCACCCAAGGAAAGCAGATGTGGACCATCCACTACCGAGCCTTGTTGGCTTGTGTTGGAGGTTCAATAGGTGGAAGAGTGCTGAGGCTGTTTTCTGTCTTTCTGAGTTTTCTGCAATGTGCATTTACAGTGAAATTGGAATATATAGGCAGCAGGCAAGACATGTATATGTGCCTGTATTTATACATGGAGTACTTGAGAGACACAGATGATGAAGAAGAGGAAAAAATTATTGCACCCTGAACGACCAATGGCTCAGGCCTGAGTCGAACAGGCGGGGTCTGCATTACATGTGTCTATTTCCAATGAAAGGGCAGCAGATGTGGACCGTCCACCACCGAGCCCTGCTGGCCTGGGGCAGAGGTTGAATGGGTGGGTGACTTTTTCAAGCTCCGCAATTTGCTACATTTATTTCCTCTGAACCATCTTTTTCATTTATTTGAGTGGGGATTCGGACTTGCTTTACAGTATCTGTACTACATATTGGTGTTTGAGCTCGACGTGTTTATGACTGACACACTTACAAACTTTGTATAATGCACCGAATCAGAAAAAATGAGTGTTCAACCGTTATGGCTCAGGCCTGAGTCGAACAGGCGGGGTCTGCATTACACATTACTCATGCATGTGAAAGGAGTGCAGAAGTGGACCGTCCACCACCGAGCCTTATTGGCCTGTAAAGAAGGGTCAATAGGTGGGTATCTTTTGAAGCCCTGAATTCTGCAGTGGTCGTTGCATTTATTCTCACGGTCTTTTGAGTGGAGGCCTCATTTACAGGCTTGAAGTTACTTGATAGCCAGCTGGATATATATATATAATTGATATTCAAAGGGAAAAGAGAAGAAAAGGAAAGAATACAGGACATCGAATGGCTCAGGCCTGAGTTGAACAGGCGGGGTCTGCATTACATTGTCTATCTGTTGAACCAAAGGAAAGCAGATGTGGAACTGTCCACCACCAAGCCTTGTTGGCTTGTGGAGGAAGTTAGATAGGTGGGCAATTCTTCTCTCCATCCTCATTGTGTATCAGATGATGAAATGAATTCTGTTCTTGCTCTTTGTTTCCCTTCATCGGTGTCTTCATGATTAACAATTTGTACCCATCAGGGTGGGCTGCAACAGGATTGATGCTGTTGCTCAAGAAGCGACTTGGAGGGACAGGATGAATGATATGGTACAGCCAAAAAAGAATCCATAGTCAATGCCGCAATGTGCCACATGGCTCAGGCCTGAGTTGAACAGGCGGGGTCTGCATTACATGTGTGTCTATTTCCAACGAAAGGGGAGCAGATGTGGAACCGTCCACCACCAAGCCTTGTTGGCTTGTGGAGGAAGTTAGATAGGTGGGCGAGTCTTCTTTCCATCCTTGTTGTGTATCAGATGAAATGAATTCTGTTCTTGCTCTTTGTTTTCCTTCATCAGTTTCTTCATAATTATTGTGCTGTAACAAGATTGATGCTGTTGCTCAAGAAGCTTAAGCGAGGGACAGGATGAATCATATGTGAGAAAAAATGATATGCACAAATTGTATATGGCTCGGGCCTGAGTCGAACAGGCGGGGTCTGCAATGCATGTTACTTGACGATCAATATTAAGAGAAGCAGGTGCGGACCATCCGCTACCGAGCCTTGTTGACCTGCAAAGGAGCTTCAATAGATGTGACTTTTTTTCAAAGTATTCAGGCTGATTTTTCTGTCTTTCTCAGTTTCATTACAGTAAAATTGGAATGTATAGGCAGCAGGCAGGATATGCATATGTATGTATTCATGTATGGAGTACTTGAGAGATACAGATCATGAAGAAGAGGAAAAAATTATTGCACCCTGAATGATCAATGGCTCAGGCCTGAGTCGAACAGGCGGGGTCTGCATTACATTCTGGTCGACACCGAAAGGGAAGCAGATGCGGACCGTCCGCTACCACGCCTTGTTGGCTTGTGGAGGAAGTTAGATAGGTGGGCAAGTTTTTTTCATCCTCATTGTGTATCAAATGATGAAATGAATTCTGTTCTTGCTCCTTGTTTCCCTTCATCATTTCTTCATAATTATTGTGCTGCAACAAGATTGATGCTGTTGCTCAAGAAGCTTAAGCGAGGGACAGGATGAATCATATGTGAGAAAAAATGATATGCACAAATTATATCTATGGTTCGGGCCTGAGTTGAACAGGCGAGGTCTGCATTACATGTTACTGTATCCTTGTGAAAGGAGAGCAGAAGTGGACATTCACTACCGAGCCTTATTGCCCTGTCAACAAGGTTCAATGGATGTGACTTTTTTTGAAGTACTAAGGCTGATTTTCTGTCTTTCCGAGTTTTCATTCATGTGTTGTGCAGGTACAGTGAAATTGGAATGTGTGGTACAGTAGGCAAGATATATCTATGCACATATGTATTTATACATGGGGCACCTGAGAGATACAGATGATGGAGAAGAGTAAAAAAAACCAACCTCGGGACAACACATGGCTCAGGCCTGAGTCGAACAGGCGAGGTCTGCATTAACTCTATTTACACATGATCCAGGTGAAGCAGATGCGGACCATCCGCTACCGAGCCTTATTGGCTTGTGGAGGAAGTTAGATAGGTGCACAAGTCATCTCTCCATCCTCATTGTGTATCAGATGATGAAATGAATTCTGTTCTTGCTCTTTGTTTCCCTTCATCAGTTTCTTCATAATTAACCATTTGTACCCATCAGGGTGGGCTGCAACAAGATTGATGCTGTTGCTCAAGAAGCGAGGGACAGGATGAATGATATGTGAGAAAAAATGATGCCACGTGCAACTATATATGGCTCGGGCCTGAGTCGAACAGGCGGGGTCTGTATTAACTTAATGTGAACGCGGTCAGGTGAAACAGATGCGGACCATCCACTACCGAGCCTTGTTGGCCTGGGGACGAGGTTCAATAGGTGTGGCTTTTTTTTAAAGTACTGAGGCTGATTTTTCCGTCTTTCTGAGTTTTAATTACAGTAAAATTGGAATGTGCCGGTGCAGTAGGCGAGATATGTATATGTGCCTGTATTTATACATGGCGCACCTGAGAGACACAGATGATGGAGAAGAGGAAAAAAATATCTCACCAATATACATGGCTCAGGCCTGAGTCGAACAGGCGGGGTCTGCATTACATACTACCACATCTCTTGGGAAAGGGGAACAGATGTGGACCGTCCACCACTGAGCCCTGCTGGCCTGGGGCGGAGGTTGAATGGGTGGGTGACTTTTCAAGCCCTGCAATTTGTTACATTTATTTCCTCTGAACCATCTTTTTCATTTATTTGAGTGGGGATTCGGATACAGTATCCGTACTACGTGTTGGTGTTTGAGTTTGAGCTCGAGGTGAATTTATACAAACTCAGCACAAATGAACTGAATCAGAAAAAAAGATATCGCTGCCCAAGCAGTATGGCTTAGGCCTGAGTCGAACAGGCGGGGTTTGCATTACATGTGTGTGCGAAAATTACGAAAGGAGAGTAGAAGTGGACCGTCCACTACCAAGCCTTGTTGGCCTGGGCAGGAGGGTGGGTAGGTGGGTACTATAGAAAACATGTTGTTCTTCCGTCAACGGTCGGTCACCCTGCGCATGGGCACGAACGGTAACCCTTGACTTCGTTTGAGTTCCTCACAGAAATATTACTGTCTTCCATCGCCCTGCGCATGGGCAAGAACCCCTGACTTTGACTTTGAGTTCCGGACTGCTGAGAAGACGAAGACACGGACAGGAGCTCAACTGAGGCCGCGCTTCTTTGATGCTATCTACCCAAATGCGGCAGGCGTTGTCAGTTGACAGGCGTGATCGAAGTTAATGGCATCCCCGGTTAGGTGCGGGGAAGGGCTGTGTCTGTCCTTCTTCTCCTTCAATCAGAAGAGAGGCTAAAAACAATTGTGTAGATATCACCGCGCAAGGGCCGTGCTGTATTTGTTCAATTCCCGGGAGGAGATATAGGTACAGCTGCTGTACTTGCTGCGGAGGCGAAGGGACGGAGCGGAAGTAACTAAGGTGCGGTGGTTCATAATTAATAGAGTGCTATCTTTGCAATCACTGATCGGATGTAGGTCTATCACGTAACGATTAGGCCTCGTGTCCATCTTGACTTCTCTTGACTTCCCACCCAACTGCTTGGATTGAATCCGGCTAAACGGGCTTTGTTATTTGTTACAGACGACGACGAACGAACTTTATGGACAACGACCAGCTGAATGCCGTCCATCTCAATGGCTTTGCCCACCCCAACTTCAACAAAGACAACAGCGACACGCACGGGCTGACCTACCCCCCCGCCCTGCTCCCCGACTCCCTCCCCGCACACCCCAGTGTACCAGGCGCACGTATTATATCCGGCGCGCAATTCGCCGAGCTGCACAGGAGGCACACGATTGCGCACGCACCGGACGGGATCCTCTTCCCCTTCCTGCACGGGCTCGAGGGCGACAACGTCGCGCAGAACACCT